CCCCTGCATACCCTCTGATCTTTCTGATAAAGTTCACCATCCCCAGGCTGCAAAGAAGCACCAGTACCAATGTCAGGGCCCAACTCCCACTGGGCAGCCCCCAGAGCAGGTTCTGTTTCAGCTTCTCCAACCCCTTAGGGCATCCTGGCAGTCATCTTCAGACAATGATCATCCGTAGCTGCAGTCATAGTTACTTTAAAGACAGAGTCGTAAACATGAAAGTCCTGGTTCATATTTAAATTTTCTGCTTCGGACATCGGACATCAGCTCTGGGCCTGACAGTTGTGACACCCTCCTGCTGTCTCCATAACTTCACAATGCTTGAGGAATCTTCTGCTCGAATGTGTTACTAGCACGCTGTTAAGGGGGCATGGACACATTTCAGTCAGTGGAGCACATTTGCTAATTTGTACAGAAACAGGATTAATGGAATAAGTGGAGTGAACCTTGTATTTATGCAGGCTGAATTGCTAATTGTTTTGACTGATCTGGTCTGAATTAAATGAGGAAGGCAGTTAGCACCAAACTCGTCAAATGCAAGAGTAGTGCACATATGCTTCTAAATGTGAGCTGAGAGAAAAGCAAAACCAAACAGGTTTGGTAGCTCTTGACAACCACTGACAGGACAGCTCGGCTAAGAATGAGCTTACGGTTCAGGTAATAAAGAAACCAGCTCAGCATGGGAATAAGGTCTCCTGGCTCAGAGATTGGTGACTGCTGAGAGTTCTGTCCCCTGTTTCCACCAGCAAACCCACGCCACCGCCCACATAGGTCAGCTCTGTGTGGGAGGGAACAGGCTCACTCTTTATACCACACCAAGGCAGATGCAGCACACAGGGGAGAATGAGGTCTCTCAGAGTCACCCACCTCGAGGTGGACAGAGGATTTGCTTCAGCGTCAGACCTGACTGGAAAGAGACATTGATTGTCATCCGCCCTGCAAATGTGTGAGCCTCAAGAGAGGGGTTGGCCACCATGATGATTGACTACTTTTCTTACTTTCTGAATTACTATTATTATTATTATTTTATCTCCCTCCCCTAACTACTGCTGGGGGGGCACTCCCCCTCTTCCTTACCCATCCCACTTGGTTCCATTCCCAGCCATATCTTAGTTCTGGCAGCCATAGCAAATTATTACCACAGGTTGTATTAAACGATAAACATTTATTTCTTACAGTTCCAGAAATTGGATCCCCCTTTTTATCATTTACTTATTAGTGCTGGGGACTAATCCCTGGGCACTTCAAATATTCTAATGCTGAGTTGCACCTCCAGGCTTAGAGGTTGGAATCCTGAGGTCAGGAAGCCGCTTTGGGTTCCAGTATGGATTCTCTTTCAGTTTGTAGGCGGTGCCTTCTCCTGACGTCACCACATGGTGAAAAGAGAGCACGGCTTTTCAGTCTTCTTATTCTGGCACTAGCGGCTCACCCGCGAGGTCCACATCATCTCCTAATTGCCTTTCCAGGCCCTCATCTCTAAATACCATCACAGTGGGGACGAGATTTCACACATGTGCTTGAAACAAACCACACTTGTTTCATTGTAGTCAAACGGAGGGTGGCGGTCTTCGTTGTTTGACATATTATAATTTTATTTTTATTATTCCTAAACCTAGCATGGAATGCTAATATTTTATAGTGATCAGGTTTGTTGCTATGCTGTAATTTGTAGAACACAATAGTTTTAAGGTTTCTACGGTGACCTAATGGTATTGTGATGTCACCCAGGGTATGACAATAGCTTTAGAGCTGAAGTGCATCTAACCGGATCGTGGTGGCGCAGGCCTTTAATCCCAGCACTTGGGGGGGGGGTAGAGGGAAGAGCATCTCTGAGTTCAAAACCAGCCTGGTCTACAGAGTGAGTTCCAGGACAGCCAGGGCTACACAGAGAAACGAACACCACCGCTCCCCTGGGGGAAAAAAAAAGCTGGTTTGCATCATGAAGAAGGAGTCACATACACGAGACACTGGCCCAGGTGCAAACCCAAACTCAGTATGAGTCCAGAGAATGGCCTTAAGGTCTCTGTCTCCTCATCTCTAAACAAGCTGACTGGAAGCTGTCAATGTAGGGACCCCTCTCAGTACTAGCCAGTCACGAGGGTTGATAATTGTGAAAAGTTAATGCCGATCTATTCTGAAGAGTCCTTTTGACTGCTCGGCACATCGGAGAGGTTGGGTTCCACAGAAGTACACACTTCAGCCAGAAAACCCAGGGCAGCTGGTGCCAGAGAACAGGGCATATGGTTCCCCTCACACTTAAAGGCGGGGTTAGCCTGCTATGGAAGGTGGCGTATGGATCCTCAGATGCCTGGTCTCCCAGTCCCGGGAGAGAGTGGGCATCTAAAGCACTCTTCTGTCTAAACCATCAGGCAGCGGCTGCTTCTCTGTGGTCCCAGCACAGGACGGACTGGAATCACAGCCCTGAAGTGGCGCTCAGTGTGTCGCAAGGCCCACTCTGTGGGTACCGTCTGGGTGCTTACGGAAATGGCCATTCAGTCTCTGAACTCAACCACACCCTGAGCTTGTGAGATCCTCAGATGAGTCAAACCACATTAAGGTTTGAGATTCCCTGGAGGGGCGGAAGGATTAGACAGGCCAGCCCTCGGTGCTTTCAGTCTAGCCTCTCGTATTGAAATGGAACTAGGAGGGGAGGCCTTGGAGCATTTTGTACACTCTTGCCTGAAGGAGTTCACCATGTTTTGGGCTTTAAAGAAGTGGTCCTGGGTGTGGTGTGAGAAGCAGTGTAAGCACTTCCACCCACAAGTTCCCAAATAACCACTCAGAGGCTTGTATTAATTTTAAATGCTCAGCTGGTAGCTCAGGCTCATCATTAGCTTACTCTTACATTTAAATTAACCCATATTCCTTATTTACGCTCTTCCTCGTGGTGGTACCTTTATTAGCATGGCACATTCATCTCCTGCTCCCTCTGCATCTGGCTGGTGACTCCAGACCCCGCCCTTCTCCTTCCCATCATCCTTAGTTTCGTGCCCCGCCCATACTTCCTGCCTGGCTACTGACCAATCAGCGTTTCATTATACCAATTCAAGTGACAAATGTTTACAGTCTACAAGAGGATTATTCCACAACATAGCAGGAAGGAGAGAAGGCACAGATGAGGCCATACAGTTGGTGAGTTTTGCTTTGGAGACCCAGCATTGCCATGGATGAGATGGCTTCTGTCTGGTTGTCTACCACCTTCTTGGCTTTCCATTGCCATGTCACCTTACAGAGAGAGTAAAGCCCCCAAAACAAAAGACAAACTGGTCGATTATGAGACTGGTAGCCAAGCCTGGTACCACCTCGGACCCCAGGCTCTGAGTTTGTAAATGTCTGAGCCCTCTGTGGATGCTGAATGTACAATGGCCCAAATTGTGGACACAGAACCTCTTTTCCTGTTTGGAACAACAGTTGAGATTTCATTTATAAAGCAACACAAGCCATCTATTTCCCCAGAGCAGTGAGCTTTCCCTAGGGCCTGACGTCCAGGCATCTCATACAAGGCAGTAGGAAAACAATCATTCTACATATCTCAGAGAAAACATCTCAATTCTGTACACAAATTGCTTTCTGCCTGGCACAATAGTCTCAGGTCAAGGGAATAACTATTGGCTGGATTGTATCACAAAAATGCCAAGCATGTTTATTCAATTCAATGGCCAAATAATTCCAGAGTGCAGCCTGGGCTGTCATTGTTCTGTGTTGCTGTCTCTTGAGGCCATTACAGTTTGTACCAGACTGAAAATGGGAGGAGTGATCTCTTTTCACAGAAAGTCCATTGGCTTTATTCCTAGTTAGAGCAGAGAGAATAACTTATATGTAATAAGACATGAAAACCGCTGGGCATTGGTGGCACATACCTTTAATCCCAGCACTTGAGAGGCAGAGGCGGGCAGATCTCTGTGAGTTCAAGGCCAGCCTGTTTATAGAGCAAGTTCCAGGACAGCCTCCAAAACAATATAGAGAAACCCTATCTCGAGAAACAAAAACAAAAACAAAAACAAAACAAAACAAAAAGACATGAGTAATGAGTTAATGGGAAATAAGTTAATCCAATTTGGCATTTAGAGCTAAGGGCTTGTTCTTTTTTTTAACATCTATTATTTATTTATATTTAATGTGGACTGGTGTTTTTCTTGTATGTACTCTGTGTGAGGGTGTCCGATTCCCTGGAACTGGAGTTACAGACAGTTGTGAGCTGCCATGTGGGTGCTGGGAATTGAACCCCGGGTCCTCTAGAAGAGCAGCCAGTGCTCTTAACCACTGAGCTATCTCTCCAGCCCCTGAGGGTTTATTATTTATGTCTCAGTCTGAAAATCAAATTCTCTTCGAAATGTTCCATGAGGCATTGTTGCCACGGACTGTGTGTGTGTGTGTGTGTGTGTGTGTGTGTGTGTGTGTGTGTGTGTGTATGTGTGTTTTGAAGGCTCATACAGTATTTATTAACTCTTTTTCTTCAAGGGCACCTTGAGTTACATTTGGCACTTCTGTGAATTTAATCTATGAGGAACAGACTTATAGACATTTTATTTGAATTTGACTTTTGGCAACAAAGAAAGTTTGGTCATAGTTCTCTAAGAACTTTAAAGGTTATTTTTGATTAAAATACTTCTAGGAGTGATGCACAAGAACAAGAGAGCAAACATGTTGACATCTAACACAAAGCATCTTAAATACAGCAGGGTCAATCGTGCTTACAAAAATGAGGGTCTTCCTACTGAAAAGGAACCAAGTATCAAAATAAGGCACACCCTATTGTCACTGATTTGTACTAGGCAGTAGTGTTCTTCCCGGAAGGCACAAGTGGGGAAATCTAATCACCCAAGGGTTTAAAATGTGGTTTTCAAGGCGATCTCAGTGTGGGGACAGCTGACTTGAACAAAATCCCCTTCCTGGAATCCACAGCAGGTCATCAGTGACAGCATCCGGCTAGACTCCAGCACTCTGGGGCATCAGAAGTCCTCTTCCCTAGTTGGTGCAGAAATCTGTGAAAGGCTCTGTGCAAAATGTGGGCAGGGTAGGTCACACCCCTTCTGGAGTGTATATTAAAACAAAGGCACATTTCCTAGACACTGAACTGTATGTAAACTAACAAAAATAATCACTTGGAAAAAACAGTAGGTAAGCTTGATAACACAGCAGGTTCTGAGTAGAAAGTCTTGAAGACGCTCCTCAACAGTGGGCTTCAGTTTCCCGGGTTCTTCATTAAGAGACACACCACACAATGATGATGATGACAACAATCACCAGGACACTGATCCCTATCGCCCACATCTTGCAGTTCTTCCACCAATACTTTCTCTTCAACTTGGCAGCACTTGTTTCAAACTGAGAAGCACCGGCCTGCAGCGCATCTGCACGCTCCGAGAGCTTCTGGTCTCTTTCTAACACCTTAACCACGTTGACTCTCATGATGTCAACCACCTCATCAACTTGATTTTGTGTCTGCTTGAGTCTTCGATTACTGCCAGCAGCAGCACTTGAACTTCCTGAAGGCACACCTGTGGACATTTTGGCGGCGGTGGCGAGGGGCCGAGCATCGAGTGGACTCTGTGCAGCCAGCGACCGAGGATGTGGAGGTGGGCGGGGCGTGTGTGTGTGTGTGTGTGTGTGTGTGTGTGTGTGTGTGTGTGTTTTAAGACAGGATTTCTCTGTGTGGCCCTGGCTGTCTTGGAACTTGCTCTGTAGTTCAGGCTGGCCTCAAATTCACAGAGAGTTGCCTGCCTCTGCCTCCTGAGTACTGGGATTAGAGATGTGCGCCACCACTGCCTGACTAGCCACCAGTGTTTTAAAATCGTGTGAATACTGGGCTATGTGACCTACCTCAAGCACATTTTCTGTCATAAATACAAAGTCACAGCACAAAATCTGACTTGCTGGCATTTGTCACCTGGAACTTACATTATTTTAATTTCACCCACTCAGCTCTACATTGTCAATCAGCTGGCCCCTGTATCACTGAAAATTCCAAGTGAGGTTTTTACATCCTGTAACAGCTCTGAGCTCTCCCCACTAAATCTGCCCCCTCTGCTTGTTCCTGGGACTTCCTATTCTTAGAAGAGGTGAATTATTGATTACACATTGTTGGGCAAATTTCTCATAGTTCTTACTAGCTAGAATGATCTACAAACCGCCATCAGCCCAGTTCTAAAGCTGGTCCATGTTTGAAGGCTGGAGCAAGCTTGCCTGCAGGAATCCTCACTCCACCCTCCACGGACTTCCCAGGTATTTCCTTAGGAAGATCTTCACGGGGGGGGGGGGGGTTGATACTGAAAGAGAATTAGATTCTCAGGTGCTTTCCATTCCACCATCCCCAAGAAACCAAACTCGCTGTGATTTGCTCGTGGTGTTTTAAAGAACCGACACAAAGGAAACCAATCTGCCTTCTTGGTGGGAGTCCAGTCAGAGCAAAGCTACAAGAACTGCTGTTACAAAGCAAAGCAAAAAACCAAGTGAATGTATTCCAGAGCCATGACTTCCGTGATCGGAGGGAGCACATTCCCAGGAGGGGAGAGGTTCCCTGATCCAGGGGCAGGGTTTACAGTGCAGCCCCAGACAGACACCATGCTTCTTTCTCCTTTGTGAGGGGCCAGGCTGCCACTCTTCCCTAGTGGGGATCTCAACATTTTAATGAAATAGAGTCTGTCACTCATGACTGTTATACCTTAGCTCTTGGGACATGACTTCTGTAAAAACTATTTTAGGGTTTGTTAGAGAAACAGCTTTGCCTTTGGGCTCAGGCTGCTGATGAGTTATAATTATAAGAATAAATTATGTTATTAGGCTTCATTTATTTCATAACCTCTCATTGAGAGATGAAAAATAGAAATTCACTCTGATGCATTTGAGTCCCAGTTACAGTAGGGGTCCATTCTGCACAGCCTCTGAGAGGGTGAAGAAAAGATTACAAGCCAATAGCAGAAGTTAATTAATTTATCCAACCACACATGCTTGGAGCTGGGCCTTCAACACTGTGCTCAGATCCAGAGGTGAAAAATATGAGGGTCATGGTAACTGCCTGGGGGAATCTAAGGACTTTAAGATATCCAGCTGGGGGCTGTACATGTGGCAGTGATTCATTGTGTACAAAATACTCCAGTGTCAGGACAATTGACTCCATCTCAGGGGAGAAAACAGACAATTTGAGAGTGTTAGGTCATTTAATCAAGTAGACTGCATTGAAAGGCTACTCATTATTTGGTAGGTATTGATACAGGGTGAAATTTGACAGATGAAGCAATCATGAGTTCCCATGGTCATAGTGTCATGTGGTTTCTGTGAGACTTATTTTGACAAGAAATTGGGGAAGAATTTCCACGAAACACATGTTCTGTTTCTCTATAGTGTTGTCAGATGTCTTCCCTACACGTTCACAGCTTTAATGGTTCTCAGGTATTTTGCAGGACTTTGCCTGACTTCATCTTCTCGGAGCAGAATACTGAAGCTTTGTCTCTAGAGTGTGGCTCCATTTCTGAACTCGTCACAGTAGGGCTCCTTATATCTTAGGCTGGAGGATTCTCTGTGGTTGTGCAGGTCATATAGCACACATAGAAACATCATCAACATCTAGCAAGCATATGCTGGGATCCTATCCCCCACCACCACGAAGAAAACACTGGCGTCTTAAAAGAAAGGTTTGTTTCTGTGCTTTGTGATGGGGTCTAACATGTGACTCAGGTCAACCTTGAACTTGTATGTTTGTAGCAATAACTAATGGAATAAAGAGGTTATCTTGGAGAAGTACAGACCATATCAGCAGCATAGAGGCTAGTCTCTTCCTGTAAATGATACATTGATTCACCAAGCCCTCTAAAAGGCTCTTTGAAATTCTGTACCAATTTGTACTTCTACTAAAATGTCTGTTCCTGTAACTGCCTGGACATGATACCTAACCCTTATACTCTTTTAACAACGGAGGAGTGTGAAGTGATAACCATGTGAATATCACTTTGCTTAATATTTAAAGTGATATCCATCTAATCTGCACATCACTTTACGTGTGAAGTACTATCTACATACATGCAAGTTCTTCTCAGGGATAATAAAGGTTAGTGTTATGAAGAAGGTTGTTCTTCCACAAATCATTTCCACTTTAGGTTTGTGATGATTTATCAATATGGCTATAGTTGCCTTTTGTGTTCATTAATGTATTCTGGATCACGGTTCAGTAATCCATCGCAAGTCAAGTTGGACCAACTATGGTTTTTATAAATAAATATAATGGAACACAGCCACACCATTCATTTACATCATGACCAAAATTGCTTTCGTGCTACAGTAGAGATCTGAATGAGATCATGTGTCACAGACTAAATCATTAATTATCTGTTCCTTTAAGAAGTTTGCTGATTCTACATCAAACAAGACCCAACAACAGAAGGGGAATATTGCAAAGAAGAAATTAGCATAGGAGGGGTAGGGGAAGTATGGGAGAGGTTAAATACGATCAATATGCCTGGTCCTCACACAGGTTAAATCCAAGCATGCATGCTATGGGGCAGGGAAAGGCCAGCAAAGCAAAGGACTTAGGTCTTACATCCTGGTTGTCATTCTCCCTAAGGGATCAATGCTCATTGTTTCCCAGAGAGCAAAAGCATGCTCCTGTCAAAGCCACAGACTCCACCCTTGACCTTTGGTTTCAAAGGACTGTCGCTAACATCTGGAGCACATATTTGCAAGTCAAATAGTCATCTTCCTCACAGGACTTCAAGCCCAAGGGATATTAAATAATTGCACAAACCCCTGTCCCACAACACCCATGATGGCACGAGGAGGAGGTATGAGTCATCTAGGAGAACAAGGATGTCAGATAACCTGACATTCTGGGAATTAGTAGGAGTTGGCTGTTCACAGAGGAAGACAGAAAGAGCAGTCTGAGAAGGTCTTGGAGCAAGACACAGACCAGATCTCCTGCCAGACAGCATCAGTGTCCAGTGGGAAGGGGCATCAGGAGCCAGAGACCCGAGCAAGGCTTGGCATTTCACGGCTAATACTCTGGGAATTTACTTTGACATTGATGAGAAACTGCTTTGGAAACCACTCAGTTGCAAAATTTAAATGCCTCTTAGAGGTCTGCAAGGGGCACTGTAAGATGCAATGATCTTGATTTGTTAACCACATGTCAAATCCATGCTTGCACTTCCAAGTGCTGAAAGGTCACCTTCAGTATCTAGACAATTCCAAACCAACCCTGAAGTGACTTGTCGTGGCCGTAAGTTGCAGTGCACTTTTATTGTCTGCTGTGTTAGAGTAGTCTCCATTGTTACAGTGAGCAATGGCTGTAACAGGGACACTTCTGCTTGAGCAGCTCTGCAACTTTAAACAAATAGTTTCCGAGGACATGGGGGTGGTGCTGTGGTGGCCACCTGGCAGCTGAAGCAGGAGGCCGCACCTGGCTTGGGAGATTTTCTTCAGGTGAACATCTTACTGGGGAGTGAGTGACATGACTCAGCACACTGACTAGTTCTGCGTCTCTCCATTGCTGTTACTGAACAAAGAAGGCTCTCTCTCAAAGGCTGAGAGCAGCCCAGGTCTACGGGTATAAACACAAGTTTTTAAAGGCAGATAGAGAACATGACTCTTGAGCAAAATAAAAATAGCAAGTACTACTTAGTGCCTGTGGTCCTCACAGCTATTAACTTCTGACCAGGAGGGCAGTACCAGACACAAAATTCCCTCCAACACAACAAGCCTCAAATCCCAATCAGAAAGTAGTTAGTTGCTCCACGAGATTCATGCCACTATAGCATGAGTGTGTATAACCTGCTTGGGAGGCCCATATTAAGGTATGAAGAGTTGAATGCTGGGTAAGATCACATCACCTTCTGGCACTGTTTTATTATTTTTTTGTTGTTGTTTTGATTTTTTGAGACAGGGTTTCTCTGTGTAGTTTTGAAGCCTGCTCTGGAACTTGCTTTGTAGACCAGGCTGGCCTCAAACTCACAAAGATCCATTTGCCTCTGCCTCCCGAGTGCTGGGACTAAAAGCAAGCACTGCCACGACCACCTGGCTACCTCCTGGCACTGTAAAAGCTGGATCCAGACATTTTAGATGTGACTTAGTGGACAGTACAAGGATACACACTGCTGTGTGTATCCGTTTGCTTTTACTCGCACTAAAAGAATCTTGGTGAAGGTGAAAAGCATTTTTAGTATTTAAAACTATTATAGCTTCAAGAAGAACAGCCCCAGAGTCTAATATTTCTGCAGAATCTTCATAACAGCTACCAAATGATATCAACATAGCAATTTTTCCTGTGTGACAGCAGAGAAAAAAGTGGGCATAGTACTGAAAAGTTGGGCAATTGTCCATTGGGAATGCAAGCTTAGTACTGGAGAGTGCTGTAAATCGAACATTATATGTTTTATGTGTTTCCCTACCACTAAATAATTCAGGAAAGAAAGTTCCTAGGGAAAACTACTTTAAGGAACTTTCACTAAAAGATGAAAACCGTGTTCGCAAAACTTTTGAGGACATCCAAAAACTGTTCATCAAAGAACAATACAATACAATGCCGTATCA